GTGTCTTCTTATCCTGATATTGTATCTCAGCACATAAGAAATAATTTCTGATGCAACAGATTCTTGTGATAGGTTAAAAACCAGTGAACTGTTCTGCTGTCTTTCTGCAATTCATATTCTTTGCCAATAAAATGGTAATTTGTATTGACAGTGCTTCAGAAATAAACCTTTCTAGTTTTGTTTTCTGTGTAGTCCAAGGACACAGCTATATTTTGAGAGTGCATGATTAGTACTTTAAAGGAATCCTTCCATGCTGAAAAACAAGTTCTTTAGCTACCATAAGTACAACTGCATGAGAGGAATAAATGATAAGCTAACAAAGTGTAACAGTGCCTAAAATAACCTTTTTGTAGGCAAGAATGTAGCATTCAAAATGTGACACTGCAAGTAATTTCAGTGCTAAAACCATTAATTGTATTTCTGGGTTCTATTAATGGCAAGACATTTAGATTTCAGCAAGGCTACATTTTCAGGTCAGAGAGGGATCACAGTCAAATTTGTCCTATAAGTTGTACATCTGGGAGAGAAGCTAAGATCTGCTTCTTTAACAAGTGACATCGTATTAAAGTTTCTATAATTTGAAGGTACTCACAGACTTTATTTTAGATTTTTAGACAAGCCCAGAAGTGGAAAGCAGCGAAGGTATAATGTTCATTTTGAATGTGTGATAAATACAGTTTGTCATGTATATCTTTTACACAGACTTTATCCCAAGTGTGTTGTGGATATATTTAAGTGTATATTGTGTTTAAGAAGTGTGCAAGTATGTGTGTTACTTAGGATTCTTCTGGATGAAAGTTGCTTATATAAGTCACTGTTTTCCTTGCTGATTTTAAAGCAGTAAATCCTTCCATTATTTCCTGGCTATCCAGACCTTATGACACAGTATGTCCTGTGCTGTTGTATCTATGAGAAGGCTTTTTATGGGGAGCAATCAGGCTGGACCCCAATCTCCAGTGCAGTGGTTTTTTTTCTAATTAAATTGTCAGTGGAAGGAATATCCGGAACAGCAGTTTTCATTTTCAATCGAGGAAAAACATTATGAGTCTTTGTCATTTGATTAAAAGTTACTTAACCTTTAAATTGCTACAGATGTAAAGATAGCTCTGAGTTTCCAATGTAATCGCCTCCAAGTTAAAATCAGGAAAATCTTTGTGTAATGAAACCCATATGTCATAGTGAAAGGATGCAAAGCACTGGCAGAGTGGGCTGCTCTAGCAGGAGATTCTGCACCCAATCTTGTTAACCAGGACTGCTTTTGGTAATCCCTCATCTCCTCACTTGTAGGAAATCAATCTGTACCACTGAATCTTTTCAACCAGCAACTATAAAATTTACTGTGGAGAGGCAGCCTGGGGACAATTGTAGTAAAAACGGAGCCTGAGGCAACAAGGCTAAATGTGGGATTGAGGGATTGAAGTTCTAAAGAGGAGATTATATTAAACCTTATTTTGCTCCTGTATCAAGTAGGAATGTCTCTTCCTCCTTTCAGCCCCAGCCTTTCCTATCCAGTACATGTTCTTGAGACCTGCTTGGCAGATCTTTGCCAGGCAGCAAACATAATTCCTACAGTACACCATTCTCTGTTAATTATAATAGCCTGATACCATTTTTTAATACATTTATCTGAAGGAGTTTATTCAAGCACTACTTCCAGAGCAACCAGTGCTGTTATCAACCTAAACTGTTTTTTTTTTCCTGTGGAGTTCAGTGTCTTCCTTCTCCCTAGTAGGTGGGTTAATTTGTATCCAAGCTATTGCATTGTTGATTTTTCTATTGTAGTAGATGCACAGCGTAGGCAAGGTTGTAAATCGTGACTTGTCATGCAGATTCATGTTTCTGTTTTGTGCTGCGCAGCCTCTGTAGTGTGTGTCTGCTGGTACAATGAAACCTGTGCTCAAACCCTCTCTTCCCTTGAAGTCCATGGTTTAAACTACCATTGTAAAGAAAAAATCCCTGAGGTTTTCACTATAGTTTTGTCCAACCTTTTAATTAAAAAATCCACCTCTATCTACTATTCAAATGGTTTCTGCTGGTCCCTTGGGTAGTTGCTTAAAGCTGGTTTTACCATCTCTCTTAGCCTGCAATCATATTTGGAATGTGGGTGATGGTTTCTTCATTCACAAGCTCTTCCCTCACTCCAGCAAGCTCCATAAGACCCCAATGGAAATTATATGCCTATTATTAAGAATTCATTTCTCAGAAGCAATACTGAGCAGAGAAATCAGTTTAATATTAGAGCCATTTACTGTGCAGAATCCATCAAATCACATTCCAGAACAGATTAAAAAGAAACAAAGGTGAAGGAGTAGCCAAGATGTTTGAAGGCAGTACCATGTAGTAAAAATTTGGCCTGTGTTTACCAGGAATACATTGAACTGTGGTTCTTGGGCAAATAAGAGAAGCAGCTGAAGCAGAGAAGACAAGATTGTTAATGCTTGTGGAAACTTGCCCTTAGTTTGGCTGTGGTTTTTCTGTCAAATGAGGATGTTACTTCCTGGCCATTTTCATACATATACAAAGATAAAAGGTCCTTTTTTTTCTCAGTTTGGCATCATATCTTTAAAAATAAAGCCCTGCTGCAAGCCTGAGTCTGTGAGGAGACGAGGAATACAGAATAGCAGAAGGCTGTCTCCTGCTCCTAATGGGATTTTGTAGCAGCATGTGCGAGTTTGTTTCAGAAGTCAGAAATGAACAGATGTTGGTATAAATTACCTCTGTGTCTGATGTCTTGCAAATTAAAAGCGCGGTTGGCATCACTAAACAATTTCACCAGGTTGGGGGGGGAAGCGGGTGGTGATTATTGTAGCAGGTCGGTAAGAATCTTTAAGCTGCAGCAGAACAGGATAGCAAGGATAAAGGAATGAAGAATAAAATGAGAGGTCTGTGAATTAATCAGAAATGTTAACATCTCCGATGACAAGCGAACAGGCAGGCACGTGCTCTGGAGCAGGCTCCAACCCACAGTAATTTCACTCAGTGTGCAGAAGGAGTCTGTGCTCTCTGCCTGATTTATAGGGTGCAGCCCTCTTTGGGGGAACAGAATTGTCATGCATTCGTATATCTCCTGTATGGGACTTGCACTCTGGAAAACTTTCCACTTTATCAACTGCAGTTCAGCTTATGTGCTTTTCTCGTTAAGAGTGTTTTAAAACCATGCACTATTGTTGGAGCAAGGCAGGGAGGTGTCAAAGAACTGTGTACTAAGAATCTATTCTAAACTGTAATTTAAAAAATCTTTCAGTTTTATTTAGTTATGTTCTTTGGGCATAGCAACTTAGTTCCTGACAAAATACCAATCCTCTCTGTTCTTCTGCAGCACCTTCTACCCCTGTGTCACTTCAGCAGCACCTAAAACATACAGGTTATCTTGGGGTTGGGAGGTAGAGGTACAAATGAGTGAGTACTTTTGTGGTAGCTCATGCTGTGCATCAGAAGCAGGATCCCAGGTGATCCTCACAGCTGGAGGCATGAGGCAAGAAAATAGTGCAGTGATCTGCTTGAACCTACAGCCAGTCTGAAGCATGTTCCACTCAGGACAGTGGACTTTGCAGCCTACAAGTATCAGTATGTAACAGACAGGTTATATGCTTTTAAATACAATTAATTGTTTTACAGGGATTTTGCTGATGACAATACCTTGTGATAAAATTTTGTGTAAACAAATTGGAATGTAGTAATTTAAAGAAGAGGCTTTAAGACACAAATTCTAACTTTTGTGTAAACAATAACAAAATGTCTGTATCTGAGTGCACACTGAGTATTGTCAGCTGAACATTTTTATTACATTTTAGTTCTGTTCTGACAGATACTCAATAATGTCAAAAGAAAACCCAACATCAACAAACCCACCTCCAGTTTTTATGCTAATCTTAATTTCTGATGTTTGTCTCAGTAGAGAAGTTGGGAGCTGAATGGATAAAACAGAAAATTAATTCCTTTCTCCTTCTAGACTGTCTTTGAGACTAGGTGTGGGAAACATGCACGTTTTCAGCATTCCTGTGAATAAAATCCTCCATGTTTTGATACCTGCCAGTCCAGCACAAAGCTTACACCTTTATTGAAAAGAAATGGAGGGGCACCAGTGGGAAGATTGTCTTTCTCCAGGCCTCAGTTGCTAATGGCGTTGGTTTTGATGCATTGTATTGTTATTGCAAGACAGAATAGTATGAGGGCTGCTCTGCCAGCTTGTGAGCTTGTGGGTTCTCAAGTCAGAAATGTCTCATGCAGAAAAGTGGCTGTGTAAACCCTGCTGTAATACAGCTACCAGAGATTGATGGTACTGAGAGTGAGAGAGGGAGACATATAAGCCTTGCCTTGCTGTATTAAACATCGAAGGACTGACAAGGCAGAAAGAAAGAGAAGACCAAAGCTCTATAAACTTTACTTTATTACCCTATCCACAGATGAACTACATTGAAGGAATATAAAACTCATTATATTACAGCATCCTGACTGACACTGCTGAGAGAGAGAAAATGCTGCCTAATTTCTGTTGAAGATCACATCATCCAGGGACCAATAATCCTGAAACAGAGAGAGTTCCATAATCTCTGACAGATTATAACATACAGGAACAATTGTGCTGAGATAGAGTGATGGAGATTTGGATTTCACCATTCAGAGATGGATAGTATAGGGAAAAGGAGGTGCTGCAAGAGCATAATGCAGTAGGAATAGAAAGCATAGATTGTATGTAATGAGACAGCCTGTGGGAATTATTGCTGAGTTTAGAAGATTCCAGACCCTGCCTGCATTTGTAGCATGTCAGGAATTCAAGCTGAAATGCAGTTTTATTTATTTTCCACTTAAACAGATAAATAAAATAGTTCTTAGTTTTGGTACAAGCACAAATCTAAATTAATTTCTTAATTAATCTGACCTTTGGTGTGTCTAATTTCTTATCCTATGGTTATGCAATTATACAGATTATACAATTGTTTGAGTTTCTTGGCTTTTTAAAAAATACTGATTTCTTTTTCCTCCCTTTGTGATTTCAGCTAGAGAAATGACTCGAGGGAAATTCCTGAACATCCTAGAGAAACCCAAAAAGTAACTGCATCTAACATTTGGATGAAAATACCCCAACTAAGTCATTTTATGTACTGCAGATCCAGATGAAGCCCAGAAAGTCTAAGAAGAACAAAGCTCTTGCTGTAGACCTTCAGAAGCAAGCATCTCTTTTTGCTTCCACAGCTCATCTCTTCATGGGAAAAAAGTACAATATGCAGAGGTCACGGGGACTGCAGTTGGTTGCACTGGAATTCAGACTTCATCTGACCATAGGATGTGCAGCAGGAGGACTTGGCCCTGACGTGCTGTGACACAGTTACCTGTTCAATCAGCAGTTCAAAGTGAGCAGCCTTACTCAGCTGCTCTCAGCCTGTTTGAGGTACACAGCAGATCTGACACTGGCCAGTGTCCATCATGAGGCCTTGACCTTTGGTGTGTCCTCTGTCTTAGATGCATTGATTTCCTGTGTGCAACGTCTGTGCTGAAGGACTTGAGCATAGTTTGGGGTGTGGATTGACCAGGAGCACTGGCTCAGCAGGAGCACATGCTTTTAGTGTAGAAGCCAAGTGCAGTCTCTGCATCAGATTCCAGTTGCCCACTGCCTTCAGAGAAGCACGTCTGGTACCCCAAGGAAGAGCTCCAGACCTTCTGTGTGCCAGGAGCTTCATTTCACTGCTGAGTGCTTCTCTAAGTGAAATTGAAACAGACCACAGGGAGTAAGTGTGACTGTGTCTCCAGGATGATATCCTCACTGAAGCTTTGGCCAGTACACAAAGAAACAGCTTTGTCAGTCCTCTGCAGTTCTTTGCTTCTTATAGGGCTAGAAACTGGAAAGAGTTGTAAAGTTGAAAGATGGTAATGTTTTCAGTTATCACTCCAAGAAGTGGCATCAGGACTGTTAGCCACATTGTGAAGATTGTCTGCCTATAGAGGATCTCAATGTTTCTGAAAATAATGTTTTGTGGTGTTTTTTAATTGCTTATAAACCAGCACCTCAAAATTTTCTTCTCCTACAAACCCAGAATTTTAAAGATAAAAACTTCTGTGAGCTGCTCCCTTTCAGAATACTGTGATTACCATTCAATGCCTTTTTCTTCTGTTCATGCAATTCTACATATTCACCTCTTGGAAGAGGTATAGAGCATGTTCAGACTTTCGGTTTTATTTAAGAAAATTTTTTTTCATTCCGTCCTCTTTCCTTTTCCTAGAAAAAAACATTTTAAGCATTAGTAAATATGTTCTTTTTTAGGATATAACATAATGTTGAAACATAACATAATGTTATTTTTATCATGCAGGCTTTTCAAAATGTGTCATTCCTCAGGCTGTAGTCACATATGAGAGGAGAAATTATTTGGAAATAATACATGTAGCTGTCCTTACAGCTCTGCATTTTTCTGGCTTTGCAGAGAGAGGAGACTCTTTTTGGGTGTGTGTGCAATAAAGAGGGGGAGGTGTTTTTGATGAAATAGACTTCTGAGTTTTACTGAATTGCTGGTGACCCTTTGGGTTGCAGTCTGTGGATTTTGGTTATTGCCAGCAGAACTAGTCTTGTTTTGGACAGCTCTGATTAACTAAGTTTAAGTAGTTAAATCCTACATCCTGGAAAGACCCTGCACAAATTTAGAAATATCAGGAGCCTGATTTAAGACTCAACAGAGTTATTTCTGTCCTTCACAGTTTATGCAGGGCTGAGCTTAACAGGAACTCCATCCCTTGAGAGCATGAGAATTAAGACAGATGAATGAGAAGCTGAAAGTGGTAGTTCAGGAACAGAAAAAACCCCGATGGTGCAAACTGATGTTGATGTAGCTTTAAGCATTGAATTATAGATTTGGAATGCAAATTTAAGTTTGTATACTATATATGTAATAAATGTACACATATATGACATAATGGGATACTTAATCTGTATCACCAGAAAATATATGGAAGCCTGTCGTGGAAGTATATGTGTATTTTCTGATATATGCAGTAAGAAATTTCAAACTAGGTGTTTTTTGGTGACATACATATGTTTAAAAAAAAAGAAAGAAAAAAAAGAAGAAAAATCTCCTTTTGTTATACATAGTAATCATCTTCTACAGGGCAGCCATTAACATATGCTTTAGAATTGTGATATTTTTTGATTTTGTACTTATCATCTGTAGAGATAAGTCAATGATGTTATTTTTTATTGACAATATTTATGTATAGTTTTGTGTGTTAGCCAGATAAGTTTTTTTTCTGTCTGTTATTGCTTTTTGGTTTAATAATATGCAAATGCAAACCTCAGAGGTTTGTCTGGGTTTCCAAAATAGCTGTCTGATAGCCACCCAATAGTGGCTTTTGCTTGGCCACTTAGGCAATACTATTCCTCAGGCTCTTCTTCGCTTATCTGCATGACACCACCTCAGGGTTTGGCCTGTGGATGTTCCATTCCCATCAGTAAATAAATATTTGTCAATATACAAATCCTACTAAGGGTTTTCTTACCCTTTTGAAGTTTTTCCTTCAGTGCTATCCTTCCTGACATCCATGCAGTTATCTATCTGTACAAGAAAATCTGAATGACTTTTTGTTACTGATGGGAATGAAGAGTATAAGAAAATCAAGATTTGGTAATATTAATCAAGCTTACGCATTGTTTTAGAAAGTGTTTTCATGTATTGGTATATTAGATGTTACTGTGAGTTTCTTGGAAGTAAACTCAATATTTATTTGGTTCCTTTTAAATGCCAGTGTTACATACATTCAGTTACAAAGGCTATTCACTTTGGTCTTGGACTGTCAAATGCTTTGCTGTCTAATCCAACTGAGAAAAAATTCTTGTTTGTTATGTTAATCATTATGAAAATAAAAGTCTGTGTGCACTGGCAATTGAATAACGTGATATTCCATTAACCAGTGTTTTGCCATTACAAAATCAACAATTTTGTAATGGTCCTATAACTCACAGTTCTCAACTTTGATTAATGTTTTCCTCAAAAAGATACCTAGGTATGACATATTAATGAAAATTGACTAATCCATCTTGGAGGTATCATTTGAACCTTATTCTGGTTTTACTGATTTTTATGTTATGTAAAAATGCAAGGTGCTATTACAAGTCAAATCACAAGCCAGTCTTATCTGTAATCTTCTCTTTGCTTATAAACAGTTGTAGAAGGATAGGGAAGGATATAAACAAAGGGCTTACACAGTGATTTTGATTAGGGTAACTTACACAGCATCCAGCAATCTGTTTTACTTGAATCTGGTCCACAGTAGACCTTAGCCTCCATAAATTTGTCTTAGTCATAATTTTTCTGTACTTCTGACCTGAAAAATGCCCCAGGATAGTGAGTTCCATAATTAAGTTATACAAAGAAAGGTTAAAAATTAAAAAAAAAAAAAAAAAAGTTGTGGAGAAAGTTGTTTTAATACTGCTTAACTGATAATTCCATTTTGAAACTTTCATTTATTTCATTGTCAGGAACAATTGTTTGGATTTTTTTCTTCCTTGCTGTCTGTGCACTCCTCATGATTTTTCAGGTTCTACTGTGGTTTTTGTTCTGTGGTTCTGTTCACCTTCCTTGTGTTCACGATATTCAATGGTTTGTCTTCTAGTACAGCCTGAGCTGGCAAAATCAAAATTGCAGAGTAGTCGTAGTGCAAGCATACTGTGAAGTGTGTACGTCCTAATTGCAGCTCATACTTTGTTACTCTGCTGTTTTCTTTCACAGCATCTGGGCCTAAATCCTGTTTTGAGTATCTCTAAGAACAGGATCATCAGCCAGATTTGCAGCTGATCTCATCCACATCACCTGCAGTAACAACTGCTGGGCAAACAACGATTTTTCCAAATCACAATGACAGTGATGCCAACCATTCCATGCTGATGAGTTGATACCTGGCAATTCCATCATCAGCCTATACAGTATGTGAAAAAGGGAAATTTCATCTTTTTCATAGGGTCTGAAATCCTGCCCTCCCAAAAGTTGAGTAACTTCTCATAAACAATTCTGTAGTGCTTCTAAATTAATATAAATTTTTAGATATGTACAATCAAAAGACAGCTTGCAAATTACTGTGGCAGAAAGAGCACAGCGATGCATATGCTCCCCTAGAACCAGCAGTCATTCACAAACACTTCAAGCATCCTCACATTTGAGTTTCTCCTAAGGAAGAACCTCAGGCAGCAAGAGTACTTGTAGCAGGAAAATGTGTCACATCTTTGAGTGAGCTATTTGAACATGGCATACAAACTTGGTAGAGCATGAAAATAATCCTCACTTCTTAGTGTTGTACCCCCATCTTCATATGCCAGTCTGCACTGACACTTTTGAAGAAGTCATTAAATAATCTTTAGTAGAAGGTTATAATTAATTGAAAGACAATTTTCTAGCATGTTGTCTCTGTATCTTCAGCCCAGGAAAATTATAGTTGGACAGAAACTTCTCATGGAGCACCAACTCTGAGCTGGATAAAAATTATTTGAAGAACAAATGCAAATGTTGTAAACACATTTCTGTTGGAGCAAAACCTTCCCACCACAGAAACACCAAAACCCACTCCCACTCCTGCATGTACATCCCAGCACATACATCAGCCAGGCTGCCAGATACATCCAAAAGGTATTGCATGTGTGATGCCAAATATACATTGTCCTGATAAGAGATGCACTGTGGTATTTTTAGAAGGCAAGGAAAGAGAGAAAAAAAAAGTAAAAAGAGAGAGAAAGAAAATCAAGGATAAGGAAATGAAAAAGACTGGATCCTTTTGGTTTCATATAATGCTGTGCTTCTTGGAATCAAACCTATTCTAGAAACACATTATATCTGCAAGCCAATCTTTGCTTTGAGTTTCTTTCAGGAGGATGTGAAATGCAATCTTCTGAACTCAAATCATTGTGGCCAATCATAAAGTCCACATAAAAATAGTTAAAAGGTTAAGTAGCCAGAGATCCAGACTGATCCAGTTGTTATAGAATGCAATCCACATTCTGCATAGATTATGTGCAACGATGCCAGTTTTATTTAGATTTTGCTAGATTTTCAGCATGGGAGGATCCCTTTGCATCTTCACTTCATCATCCACTGAAAGTGCTGGTTTTTAGACTTGACCTTTGCCAACGTTTGAGGAGGTCAGTCATCCTTTGAGGAGGATGACTGACTCCAGGCAGCTGTTGAGTGTACAGAATAGGCGTTTTCTTGTTGGGTTTGTGTGGTTGACCTCTGCCCTGCCTGCTGATTCCTATAATACAGATCAGTGACCACTGAAGCCAGAATGCTCCCTGCCTGTCTCTGTTATAGACACCTCAGTAAGGAACAGAAAAGAGGAAGAGGGCTGAGCTTGAAAGCCCTTACTTAATTGCTAGTAGAAAAAATGGGTAATAAGAATGACCTTGCACCTTATTTATTGACCAGATCTCTGTGAGGACAAAGTACTTGACTTGATTCTGTATCACTTGAAAGGCTGGCTCTGTGGCCCATAGCTGATGAGTAGGCATAATAATATAGGGTAATTAAATTTTGCATTTACAGACACTTACATGTGAGGGAGGATTTCCCTCTCAAAAGTGGCAGGCTCTGTTTTCTTCATAATCACAGAATTGTAAGCTAAATTTGAAGTAGCAGAAATTTGCCATTTGCCATCTTCCACTTCCTATTATAGCCCAAAATTCAGGAGGCTATGTATGAAAAGGCAGGAAGAGAGCTCACCAGCTACATGAGAATGAGGGATGAGACCAGCAGAGCAACCCAAATGGGCACAGGTGCTCAGGCTGCCTGGTTTTGTGGCCTTCAGTTTATTTTCCTCTCTCTGTAGTACAGTAGCAGTAACTTTTTAGTTGTAGTTAATTTAAATATATGTGTGTGTGTGTGTGTGTATTGATTATCCCAAATTGCCTTTCAGAGAAAGCAATGGCACCTGGCTTTCTCTTGTACTCTGCATGGATCAGCTTGTCACCCTGTCTTTGGTTTTCCCCCTGCAGTGCACACTGAAGCCACATAGCACATGTGAAAATGGGACAGATTGCTTCTGTTGAGGCCCATAGTGGGAGGAATCACGGTGAGCCCTGATTTGCAGTACGGATCAGTTTGTAATCAGCTGCACAGGAGGCAAATGGGTCTGCAGGCTATGAGTATCCTTACAGGATCAGCTGTGATATTTTGCTCAATATGAGCTTCTAATCAAAAATTAGGGAAAATGTCTTGCTGAAAAATATTTGGTTGATGATGGTTTCTGAAGGAAGTGTCAGGTTGAAAATTAGAGGGACTATGTGTCTTTCTTTGGCTTGTTTTGATAAGAGAGCTTGAGCTGGGATCTCCTACTCACCTCACAACTCATGCTTTTAATAATTCCGTGAGAATCTTTAGAAACCTGTCCTGTGAGACCCAGCACATGATCCTTTACATGAGAAATGCTAGGACCTTGTTTACTCACATGCTCCTTCCCAGCCTGAGCTCTGGGGCAGACCCATGGCAAGGCCTCACCGGAGAAGAGCCCATGCCAGGTGCAGCATTTCTGTAAGGGCAGCTCGCAGCAAGCCTCAGCAGAGACTCGAGGCAAATCTTTGCAGCCAGACGTTTGGGTTTGATGGTGCATTTCTGCGTGGAAGCACAAGTACCGGTGTACCGCTGGAGATGACAGAGGATAAGACAGTCTAGAGAGCTGAATTCAGGTTTCCACCATGCAGGTGGGCGATGGAGATGGAGAAAGCGGAGAAAGGATGGATGTCCCCAGCACCGTGTGGCCCCGTGCCATGTAGCTGGGCCCCAGCGCCTGGATTGCTTTTCTGGCTGCTCCTGGCCGTCCCCCTTGTGCTGCCGGTGCCCGAGAGGCGGCTCCCTGTCCGTCTGCGGCGCAGGGAGCGCTGCCTGCCGCTCGTTAGAAGAATTCCCCCAAGTCAGACCTATGGTACGAGCCGTGTGAAGCGGAAGACAATTAGGGGCTTATTAGTGTCCTGGGGAGACGTGTAACTTGTGTTGCTGGGACTTACCAAAACAGCGAGAGTCTTACCGGCAAGCTCCAGCCGAGAAAAGACTGAGGGATTGTCTCACCTAATTACGCGGAATGGGCCTCTTTGTGTTTGTGATTCGGTACGGTTGTCCGATCGCTTTTCTCTGGCTGCTGGCTCAGGCCGAGCTGGAAGTGTGCTAATTAGAAGAGAAATGGACGTAGTGATCCTGTCAGCTCTCGTTACCGGCGTGCACAAAGCCGAATATTATTCTGAGGCAGTGTTTTGTGAGTGTCCCTCTTCCAGCTCTCATTAAGGGCAAGGTTGGTGGACGGAGAGGGGACTTGACCACATGGGTTGGCTAATGGAGCACAGTTACCGTTACTGTGCTAATTAACGGGCTCAGGAGGCAAATGCTTCTCCAACCAGCAGTCCCAGCAGCTGCACCTGGTGCTTCCAGAACCCAACCATCTCGCTGGGCAAGCCAGGCAAACACTGTGTATGAGCAAAAAGGGGGTTATGTGTGAGTGCAGAACCAGTAAAATGGTCATCAGAGGGATGGAAAGGACACAGTGCACCAGCACTCCCTTCTTCCCAGTGACCTTTCACATAGAGCACTATGTGTCAGCTTCTGCCCGTGGAAAGTGAGTAGCAAGGACATAGCTGAGGAATTGCCAGAACTTCCAGGTGCCATCAAGAGAGAAATCTCCTGAGAGTTGTTATGATCATCACAGCTCTTAATGTGGCCAGGAAGGGGAAAGCTGGAAAGATGAGAGGTGACATGGAGGTGAATCTGACTATCCCTCTCTGTGTTGAAGATGGGATGCTTATGGTCTGAGGTGAAAAGCAAGATGTACACACATATCAGGATGATTGTTCTGCTCCAAAAGCTAGTTAGGCAACATTGAAATGATGCACAAAAGTTAATGTAGGTGAAGATGATGA